GTTGCTCTCATGTTAAAAAAAAAAAAAGATAACTAAAAAGCCAATTTATCTATTTTGAAAATTAGAAATCTTATTTATGCACAGCTCAACAAAATATTAGGATAGTCCTCACATCAAACCAAGGTCAGAATTGTGCCCACTGTTTAGAACACTAGCATGTTTAAATGTTATTTGTGTGTACTTAAATATAATTGTTATCAAAACATTAAAATTAGTTTCCAAAATTCATCCTAGACTATACAGACTAAAAAAGAAAACTCACATGATTAGAAATGGTTTCTTATTTGTGAAAAGAACACAAGAAATATTCACATCACATTTATTTGAAATCTGGATTCTCTCCTTGCACGATAGAAAGATGCAAAGACAAACACTTCCAAATATCCAGACAGATCATCCCACAGTTGTAACTTTCATCATACTTCTCAAAGCAGTGTGGTGAGGTCAGCTCACAAACAGCTTAAGCAGCAAAACTAGAAATCGGTGGTAGTAGTATCAGGCTACATAACAGCCTCTCCAAAGACTATGAAGTAAGAGAATGAAAATGTGCTGGCACTGTCCCAAAGACGGACACAGTGTAGAGCTGAGCCCTGGAGTTCAGAGCCTACAGTGGAGAGCAATTCCTCTTCCTGACCCTGCAGCTTGACTCTCCATACTTTAACCCCAAAATAGCCACACAGAAGTTAGTTAACACTCCCAACCTTCTCTCTAAATATAAGCCAAAGGGCTTGTGGGTTTGCAAAGATCTGTTTAGATGCACACATACCCTGAAAAGGAAAATCTGTCTTCCATCTATGTGAAGATGAAGAAAGTCAGACACAATTATACTTTATAGCATAGCCTTTGTTACCCAAGAATTGTGCCTACAGCATAATTCTGAAGGTTTGGGAATTTCTTTGGTGTCAGTTTTGACACTGGAAACTTTGCCTAGCATTGAAAATTAGTTAGCTTTCTCAAAAGAAGTAATCCTAGCAGATTAATGAAGGCAAATCATGCAATTTTGGTAAGAAACGACTCCTTTGACCTTAGTCATATTTGCTTTATTTGTTTGTCTGTTTTGAGACCATATCACTATGTAACCAGGCTGACCTAGAACCACTGCTGATTGGACACAAAACTCAACAATCCTTCCTACTCAGCCTCCCAAGTACTGGGATTGAGGGCATTCACTACCACACATGGTTTTACATATTACTTATGTAATTTCAACTTGACCAAATCATATATCAAAATAGTATTATAAACTCTAATTCTTGAACCTCTGACACTTTCTAAGCATAATAAAGAATCAAGAAGCTAGGCATAGTGCAGGCCTGTAATCCTAGCACTTAGAAGGTAGAGAGAGACAAAGGATTAGGAGTTCAAAACCACCCTCACTACACTATCTGAGAACCTTTGTCAAATAAATAAAAAAGAACCCAAAAAGGGCAATTATTTTAGGCTGAAAAACAATCAAATTCAAATCAATATCTATTTATTTAACATGTATTTTGTGCCAACATTATCCTGAGAATGGAGGAACCAAAGGTAATATATGTGCATGGTCTCAAGAGAGTGGATCTTGGAGAAATCAATGACAAGCTCAGTGTGCTCTACTGAGAGCCAGAACAAAAGCTTTGGCATTGCTGAAGAAAGAGTGGGTAAATCCATAAGTTTCAAAGATATCACCAGATTTGAGCTATATCTTGAGCTCCTTTCACAAAAGAAAGAGGAATGTTGAAAGCCAAAAACAGAATAAGCAAAAAAAAAAAAAAAAAAAAAAAAAAGGACAAAAACATGACATATATGGGGGAAAAAAAAAACCCATGTGATGGTTAAAAATGCCTGGTGCATGTGCTAATAATGTTCTCCTACCCTCACCCCACGACAGACATCACCAATCAATCAGAGCATACTTAAAAACCACAAGAAGTCTCAAAATCCTTCTAAACATATAACACAAAAAGCAGGACCATGAGATGAAATGTTTAGGACTAGAAAGTAGTAGAACTTGAAGGTATATGGGTCATTTCAAAACAGGCTAATAATTTTAGATTTTCTCCTACAGTGAGAAAGGTCCTGTGAGAAATGATTGATTTTGTCACTGTGAGGAATGTATGTGAGCAGAAATGTAGGAGAGCAGAAAGAACTAATGAATAATACTCTAGGATTAGTTCTACCCATAATCTCACTCTTGGGAGGTGAGGGCAGGTGATAGGAGCTCAAGATTATCTTGGCTAAAACAATAAATTCAGGCTAGCCTGGGCTACAGGAGACCCTATCTCCAAAAAAAAAAAAACAAGAGCTGAGACTATACCCAGATCAGTGATACAGTACCTGTCTAGCAGGTATGAGGTCCCCAGTTCAATATACACACTATGAAAAACAAACAGGAAAACAGTAATTGTGGATCAAAAGAAAAGTAGGAAAAATTATGGCTGGCTCTAAAACAAAAGCAGAGTTTTAGATTTTAAAATTATTTCAAGGGTTTGGAGAGACAGCTCGGTGATTAAGAGCACTGGCTATTCTTTCAGAGGATCTGGATTTAATTCCCAGCAACCACATGGCAGCCCACACCTGTCTGTAACTCCAGTTCCAGGGCATCTAACATTCTCACACAGACACACATGCAAGCCAAATACCAATACACATAAAATTAATTTTTAAAAAAATTCCAAATAAAAATTGGGTAAAATCATGTAATCAGAATCATCTAGTAGAATTCAAAAAGGAAGGTAAAGACTAGAATTAAAGAAAAGAATAACAATGTTAGATCAAGATTACTCAAGACCATAAATTCAGAAGTAGGTATTCCAGGGTTAGCATCAAGAAAGAAAACATCCTCATGACCAGACTGGCACTCAGCAAGTCTCTCCTGCCCGAGGCACCATACTCTGGCCAAATAGCAGATGCTGTTACCTCACATGCCCCACGACATAGGGCAGGCTCAGGGCAGGCTCAGGCTATGTGAAGTGCAGGACTCAAAGAAACTCATTTTAAAATCAAGGCTCATCCAAAACTCTACAACTGCACATTTCTCTTAAGAAACATAGTTTATATGAAATAATGGCATTCTATTAATGGCAAGCATTAAATTCTACTATTCTTTGCATGAATTACAACCTAGCTATAGAATTTTGGACAGAATGAAAGAAAAATAAAAGTAACTCCTACCACTTAAGCAGAATGTGTAGTAAGTGACATTATTCTACTTATATACAAAAACTTCAGGGTTGGGGATGCAACTTAGCAGCTGAGGACTTGTCTGATACGCACAAAGCCCTAGTTTTGATTCTTAGACTCAAACATAAAACAATTAAAATTGTAATTTTTTTAAAATTAAAAACATTAATTTTAATGCAGCACATCCCAGTAATCTAGCTTGGGAGATACAAGATCAGAAGCTAGCAGGAAGCTACCCTTAGCTATGAGAAATCCTGTCTCAAGAAACAACAAATACTTGGCATGGAGGTACATGTATAATTCCAGGATGCAGGAGGCAGGGGCGTGTGGTTCCCTGTGAGAGCAAGCCTAGTTTAGTTACATTGTGAGTTCCAGGCCAGTCAGGGCTCCACAGCTCCATAGAGAGACTATTTAAAAACTTTTTTCTTTGGCTATCATAAACAAAGGCTAAAGTAATAATGTGAAGCCCAAGGATATTAATAGGCTAGTATTACTCTTCTAAGACCTAAGGATATTCAAATGATGAATAAAATTACCCTCCAGTGAATGCCAACAATGCATTTCACACAACATAGACACACAGTCAAGGGTTCTACTTGGCTCTCGTTCTGTGCCGAACTGTTAACAACCTCACAGATTTGGAGGTAGTACCAAACACCTGTAATCTCGGTCAGCACTTGATGATGTGGAGGCAGGAGGATCAATTCAGTCACCCACCACTACACAATTAGTTTGAGGGCAGACTGAGCAAGAACGAGACTTTCTCAAAAACAAAAACTCATAAGAGGGACTCTCACTCTCTTAAAATAAGACAAAATGAAAATAAGAACATAAGACAAGATGTATGCAGTTCATCTGAGAAAGCAAATCCAATTTATCATCACTTCTCTCTCAGCAGAAAGAATGGATTAGTCACGGAAAGGGTCACTTTGTCATGATGTCATTCCAAAGTCATTACAGAATTTTACACACGTTATGCTTGCTTCCAGTCAATCACCAAGAAGTCATCCTGAGACTGAGGTCAAATTCCATTCTAAAGATCTCCACACTTGAAGTAAAGGTCCGCAAGAACATAATATCCAAAGGCCAAACACAGATACCCCTCCTCCCCACTTTAAAAAAAAAAAATCAGTTCTTCCCCTTTAGCTAACTGTAATGGAATGTGACCCACACACAAGGGCTTTCCCATTCTTCACTTTCTCAGAAAATATACAGCAGACTTAATCTCTCCCATAAGGAGAATGTTTTTGACAGAAAAAGCCGTAACATAGTAAGTTTTTCCCCCTCCCCGCTAGCTCATCCCCATTTTCAGGAACGCTCTTCCTTTCTCAGGAAACTGTCTCTATTTCCAATCACTAAAAAAAAAAAAAAAATTTAATAACAGTTGATAATTAGTACAAAAGGTACAGTGGGCATCTGCACTCATTTGCACAGACCAATACCAATACACTGACACACCGATAACTTTTAAAGGGGAGGGGCTAGAGTCATGGCTCAGCAGTTAAGAGTTCTGGCTGCTCTTACAGAGGACCACGTTCAGTCCCCAGCACCCACACCAGGAGACTCACAAACACCTACAACTCCAATTCCTAGGGAACCAATGCCTCCATGGGCAAGAAAGGCAGAGGCAGGCAGAACTTTGTGAGTCTGAAGTCAGCCTGGTCTAGCTACAGAGTGAGTTCCAGGATGGCCAGGAATATACAAAGAAACCCTGTCTCAAAAAGACCAAAAAAAGGAAAAAAAAAAAAAGAAAGCTTTTGTAAGTTTTAAAATAGACAATTCCACTGTTTAATTCATATGAAGGCTCTCACAAGAAAACACAGCTGTATTTTACTTACATTCTTCCTACACCTTCATACATGTTAGTCTCATCTACCAGCGTCATGATCTCTGTGTCTGTAAGGTGTGCATGCTTTTTTGTTCTGTTTAGCTGTTCAATCTGTATGTCTGCGAGCTTCACCTTCTGTTGAGTATCAATAACTTTGGCTTGAAGCTCTGTGAAGGCCTAAGAAAAAACAAGTCCATGATTTAGAAAGGAAACATTTAAGTCAAATCCAGATTTATTAAAACAGAACATACTAACCAAAACTGTGAAATTTGCCAATGTAAGCATAAATGAGAGCCAACAGAATTCTAATACTATGCTAAATTCTAAATGTACCCTGTTCATAGACAATGTGATCAATATGAACAAGCAAAGCAAAAGCTTATTAAATAATAATAAATATATTTCAAATAACCAGAGAGTAATAAAAGGAGTAAGTAAAATATTCAGGGAATAAAGCTCAGAGATCCAAAGCAAGAATTAATGAAAGCACTTCATATTATTTCAAAATCCTGGCTGGAGACTCAGACCTGGTGTCTCATGCCTGTAATCCCAACAACTGGGAGGCAGAAGGAAGCAGAGGATGGAGTAGTTCAAGGCCATCCTGGGTTATAAGACACATTTTTTTTAGGGCCAGTGAGATTGGCTCAGCAGATAAAGGCACTTGACATCAAGCCTGATGACCTAAATTTGATCCCTAGGAGCTACATAGTAAGAGAGAACTGGCTCCCTCAAGTTGTTCCCTGACCTCAACATGTGCACTCTGATACACAGTATCAGCACTCACACTCAAGCACACACACATAAATTAAAAAAAAAAGAAAGAGACAGACAGACAGACAGATGTCCATTAGATGGCTCAGCAGGTAGCTTCTTACGACCAAGCCTAACAATCTGAGTTACATCCCTGGAACCTGAACCCACATGGTAAAAGGAGGAAACCAGCCCCCCATAACTATATTCTGACCTCCACATACTCTGACCACACACTAGCATCACAACATGTGCGGGCCCACACTCACACACATCTGAGATTTACATGCCTGGGATAGAGATGCAAACTCTTAATCCCGGCACTAATGGGGAAGAGGCAGGAGGATCTCTTGTAATTTCAAGACAAGCCTGGTCTACACAGTGAGTTCCAGCTAATCAGAGCTAAAAAAAAAAAAAGGGGGGGGCGCGATTTACAGCATGAGAGAATACTGTATAAGATTAAGTCTCCACGTTTCAAGTAAAGAATGACAGAGCAGCTGGGCGTTGGTGATGCACACCTTTGAACCGAGCACTCTGGTGGCAGAGGCAGGCAGATCTCTGTGAGTTCAAAGCCAGCCTGGTCTGTAAAGCTACACAGAGAAACCCTATCTCAAAAACCAACAACAATAAAAAAAAAAAAAAAAAAAGGCAAAGAGCAAGACACACATACTTAGCATCCCCAGAACAATAACAAATGGCTTCCTTTATTAGCAACAACTGCTATTTCAGCTGTCCTATTGTTTAGGCAAAGGTTAAGCAGAGGCAGCTACTAAAGATGTTCCTAAGAGCCAGGGAAATGTTCACTCAGCAGACTTAAGGTTCATTCCCCAGGATCCACCAAGAAAGTTGAGCTTGGGAGCTGGAGAGATGGCTCAAGGGTTAAGAGCACTCCGTGTCCTTGCAGAAGACCAGGGTTTGTTTTGAAGTACCCACATAGCAGCTTACAACCCCCTGTAACTAGTTTCAGGGGGATCCAGAGTCCTTTCTAGCCTAAGGGCTGTACATATATGCTATACACTCATGCAGGCAAGACACCCACATACATAAAAATACAACTTCTTGTTGTTTAATGCTAGTCATGGAGGCAGAGGAAGAAGAGAGGATCCTTTAAGCTCACTAGCTAGACAATCTAGCCAAAGTGGTAATCCCCAAATCCCAGCAAGTGGCCTTATCTCAAAAACCAAAATGAACAGTCCCTGCCTTGAATGCAGGAAGCCCTAAATGCAATTCCTGGTGCAGGGAAATTGGATGTTGTGGTACGTGCCAGCTACATAACCAAATTCCAGGCCAGCCCAGGCTACATGAGACCCTGACTCTGAGGGAAAAACAAAACAAATTTAGAATCTGGGCCAGTGAGATGGCTCATCTTGCCTGAAGGCCTGATGACCAGAGTTTAATGCCCAGGGCCCACTTGAACCAACTCCCAAAAGTTGTTTTCTGACCTCCCCTGAGCAATTTGCAGATGTGTTTACACACACACACACACACACACACACACACACACACACACACAACTTTTTAAATATGTTGCTCACCTACAGAACCTATTGATCAAAATGTTATGATGATACCAAATTCCAGATTTTATCTAGATGTATTTATTATTGTGTGTTTGATAAGGGCCAGTGTGCTAGAGTGTGAGTCTGAGACATTACAGAATAAGTTTGAGCAGTTCTGTCTTTCCACCATGGATCCCAAGGACAGAACTTAAACAGCCAGGCTATCTGGCAAGTGCCTTCACCCACTGACCCATCTTGCTGCCTGGGGCTCAATATTGTAAGGCTTTTTTTTTTTTGCCAGTGACCCTAAAAAAAAAAAAAAAATGTCTGTTACCCTAATACTCAGGAGATAGCAGCACCAAAGAGCATTAAGGGTTCAGGGCCTGACCAAACAAAACAAAAACAAACCACACACTAAAAAAAACCCTAGAAGTTTACTTTTCTGGAAAAATAAACTGAATGAATTATAAGGTACTTTTTAACTATAGCCAACTCTCCACAAAGAAAGCCCAGTCTGAGGTCTTAGTATTGTCAGGGTCCTAAGACTTTTAAGTGACAAAATGTTTCTAATTAACAACCCGCTTTATAAACCCACTCGATTATAATTCCAGCTGGGCAGTGATGGTGCATGCCTTTAACCTAAGCATTCCTGAGGCAGAGGCAGGTGGATCTCTTTGAGTTCAAGACCCAGCCTGGTTTCTAGAGTGAGTTCCAAGTCAGCTAGGACTGTATCTCAGAGAAATCCTATTTTGAAAAATCTAATTCCAGGACTCAAGAGGCTAAAGCAGGAAGACTGCCTGAAGTTCAAAACCAGCGTGGCTACACAGTTAAGTCCCGAGTTAATCTAGGACACACTGAGGTACCATCTCTAAAAAACAAAGCAAAATAACAACAAAAACCATTTATAAGAAAAAGATTGAACAAAAGTAAAATCCAATTCCTCTGACTGCTCATTCGGAAAACCTGACTGGATTTTTTTTTTTGGGGGGGGGGGGAGTGAGGGCACAAAATCTTTTAAAAGGAGACGGGCAGAGAGCATTAAGGCCTTAACATGAACACTGACATAACTGTGTGATTTTTCTGAAGTATAGAAACAAGGACCTTTCAAGGGGAGCTACAGAATAAATGACCTAAAAGCAAAGGTTGAACTTGGGGATTTTCAAATCAAATGAGGAAACCGAATTACAGCTTACTCGGCTCCAGTAAACCGCACTAGGAAGGGCACCCGTGTGAGACGCTGTCTCCGGCTCTTGTTTTGAAAGTTGGTCCCTGACGGCTCCAAAATGCAAAGAGATGGCTCGAGTGCAGAACACGAGGGCACACGGCAGCCCCGGCAACCCACTCACCCGCCCGCCCTGAGCAGCTCCTGCCACCGAGAGCCCCCGGGACCCCTGGCCGCCGACGCAGCGCGGGCGCCGTCTCAGGACTCCGGGAAGCCAGCCCCCGCCCCCTACAGTCTCTTTCCTTCAGGGAGGCTCGAGTTCCCCTCTTAATTCTTGTCCCCACTCGCTTCATCATTCAAACAGAAGGCTCGGTCTGCTCAAAAGCCCCGTTACCTTCTTCAACTCCAGATCCACGGGGGCCGCCATATTGGAGCACTCTATGCGCCTGCGTTAGACGCAAGCCGGAAAGGGATGGGGGAAGGGCGCTTTCACGTTTGATTGCGAGACTGCCTTCAGCGCCTGCGCATAAAGAAACTAACCCAGCTTTCTCTGTAATCTACCCTAGTCCACCACTCTGGCATGAAACAAGTGACCCTAATAAACATTTGGAATTACGATAAAATGTGATAAACGTGTAACTGCTCTTATCTTCCACACACAATTAGACAAACATCTTTGGGCTGCGGAAATGAAACAGGCGGTATGGGTCAGCTCTTAGACATCAACCATTGAGTCCTTCAGCTAATCCCCGTGCTGTCAGAGATGTATAAAGGCCCCAATTTCCCGCAAGCCAGTAAGACCATTGGAAGACGTGAATGGAATTCGCCCAGAAGGACCTTAGTTTTGCTAAAGCCACCTCAGAGGTCTTATAAGAACAGTGCTTTTTGAAACAAGCCACATAGGGTTGTTTGTAGTTCAATTGGCAGAGTATTTGCCTAGCGCACTCGAAACTCAGGGATTGCTCCACAGCACCGCATAAAATAGGTGTGATGGTGCATGCCTGTGATCGAAACGCTAGGTAGGTGGAGGCACAAACATCAGAAGTCCAAGGTCAGATGAGCAAGATGGTCCATGGAATAAAGGTGCTTGCTTGCCCCCAAGCCTAATCTACATGCGTTCAATCTCAAGGACCCAAGTGGTGCAGAGAACTGACTCCCATCCCACGAGGTATCCTCTGACTTCTATGTTTGTGCCTCGAAACGGGCTTAGGCACGCACACACACATACAATAAATAAATGCACATTTTAAATTACAACTAAGAACTGAAGGAATGAGTTAGCAGTTAAAGAGCATGTACTCCTGTTCCAGAGGACCAGAGTTTAACTCTCAGCACCCACGGCAGATGGCTCATAATGAACTGTATCTCCAGCTCCAGGGGAATCCAACACCTCTAGCCTCTTCAGACACCTGTGCTTATATGCTCACACACACGTACACATGAATTCATAATTAAAAATAATACGAATATGGGGCTGGAGAAATGGCTCAGCGGTTAAGAGCAGTGGCTGCTCATCCAGAAGACAAGCACCCACATGGCAGCTCAAAACTGTCCGTAGTTCCAGTTTCAGTGGATCTGATAACCTCACACAGACATGCAGGTAAAACACCAATGCATATAAAATGAATAAATTATTAAAAAATAATATGAATAAACCTTTTTAAAAATTAAGAAAGTTCAAGTTATCCTCAGCAGCATAGAGATTCGGGGAGTCAGCTTGGGCTACATGAGACCTGTCTCAAAAACAGAAACTGAGTTCAAAACCCGACAACCAATGTAAAAAGCTTAGGGCAGCAGTGTGCATCTCTAACCCCAGTGATGGGAGGCAGAGACAGAGAAATGCCTAGAATTTGCTGACCAGTTAGTCTAGCTGTGTTGTCAAGTTCAGTGAGAAACATTGTCTCAAAAAATTAAATGGAGTCGGGTGGTAGTGGCACACACCTTTAATGCTAATACTCCTGAGGCAGACGCAGGAGGATCTCTGTGAGTTCCAGGACAGCCTGGTGTGGTCTACAGAGGGCTGTTACACAAAGAAACCTGTCCCCCCCAAAAAAAATTTATACTTTCTATATTAGATATTACTTCTATTTTAAAACCATTTCCAAATTCAATGACTTTTTATATTACTCTTTGATTATAAAGATAATAAGCACAAAATGGAATTTAAATGTATTAAGTTTTAAAAGAAGCAGGAAGTAGTGGCTCATGCCTGTAATTGCAGCATTTGGAAGGTCAGACAAGGAGACCAGAGGCTGTATCTATAGCAAGTTCCAGGCCAGCATGAATTGCATGAGACCCTGCCTCAACTTGCCCTCCTACTAAAAAGTGTTTTGTTGTTGTTTTGTTTTGTTTTTAATTACAGGGTCTGGAAAGATAACTAAGTGGTTAAGAGCACTGACTGCCCTTCCAAAGGTTCAATTCCCAGCACCCACAAGGCAGCTCATAATCTTCTGTAACTGCAGCTCTGGGGAATCAAACGTCCTCTTCTGGTTGCAGTTGGCACTGCATGCATGTGGTACACAAACATCCATACACATAAAGAATTACAATAACATAAATCCGCAAAGATTTACAAATAATATTGAATGCAGTAAGTTTTCTTAAATGCTTTATAAGTCTAGAATTTTACTTTTTTGTTATTTGTGTTTTCAAGACTGGGTTTCTCTGTGTAGCCCTCACTGTCCTAGAACTTTTTCTGTAGACCAGGCTGGCCTTGAATTCAGAGATCACCTGCCTCTATCTCTGGAATGCTGGGATTAAAATGTGTGCCACCACACCTGGCTGAATTTTACTTCTTTTTGAGACAGGCCTCACTCTGTATCTCTGACTATCTTGACAGAGAGATCTGCCTGCCTCTGCCTCTGCCTCTGCCTCTGAATAGCTGGGATTAAAGACATTTACCACACTTGACTCTTTTTTAAATTTATGTGTACATGTGCCAGTGTGACTTTATGTGTACTATGTGTATTCTAGTGCTCACAGAGAAGGTATTGGATGTAAGGAGTATGGTTTTTCCTCCCGCCGCTGGTCTTGTCCCATCGCCACGCCAGCCCCAAATAATACACAGAGATTCTGTATTTGGTATAATGCTGTTGGCCCGGTTACTTGTTTCTTATCCGTTAGCTCTGTCTTAATTATTAGCCCATTTCTATGTATTTCCAATTGGTCTCCTTACCGGGGAGCTGGCTGGTATTCTGCTTTCTCCAGACTCTCCATCTTGACTCCTCCTTACTACTTCCTATTTCCTCCTTGTCTCCTAGTCCCACCTATCTTGCTTTCCTATTGGCCAACAGTGCTTTATTCATTAACCAGTATGAGAAACATATATACATAATGACATCTCCCATCAATTGGATCCCCTGGAAGTGGGAATCTTGATTGGAAATGATGGGGTTTAGAATTCTGTAGAAACTGGTTTATAGGTGTGCTTAAGAGGGAGTGTTTAGAGTAGGTTAGATGAGGTGGGAAGAGCCTTTTTAACCGTGGGTGGCAGCCAGGCATTGGTGGCTCACACCTTTAGTCCCAGCACTCAGGAGACAGAGGCAGGAGGATCTCTGTGAGTTCAAGGCCAGCCTGGTCTACATAGTGAGTTCCAGGACAGGCTCCAAAGCTACACAGAGAAACCCTGTCTCAAAAAACAAAACAAAACAAAAACCAAACAAACCATGGGTAGTGCTGTTGCATGGGTTTCCATTCTGGACTGAACAAAAGTAGAAATGCAGCCCAGCAACAGCACTCATTTCTCTCTGCTTCCTAACTGAGGGTGCCCTGTGACCAGCTGCCTCAAGCTCTTTCTGCTGTGACCTCCTACCATGACAGATGCCAACCCCGAACCATGAGACAACCCCTCAAGTTGCTTTTGTTGGATATTTTGTCACAGCTAATTCAGTATCATTTAAAGCTAAGAGAAAGATGAACTGCCAGGGAATTGACGGTTCATGCCTGAAATCCCAGGGATAGAACTCAGGTCTCCAGGCTTGGTGGCAAGAGCCCTCACCCACTAAGCTATCTGGCAGGCTCTAATTTAGTTTTTTGAGACAAGATCTCATGTAGTCCAGGATAGCATCATTTAGTATTATGTGAGGATGGCCTTGAACACTTGACCCTCCTGATTGCTGCAATCACAGCAGTATGCCATTATATATTATCATTTTCTTTTGTCTCAGTGCCTTTGATGCTCCTGAGAGCTTGTTTGCCACAAATGCCTTATTTTCCTGCAAGATTCCTGGTTAAGTCTAGGGATGTATGTAGTTTGGTGGTAGAGTGTCTGCCAGTATGAGCCAGGCATTTAATCCCTGCAAGAGCAAGAAGATACCTGAGAGCCCTTTCTCTACACTCCCCCAGCTTTCTGGGATTACCTCCTCTTGATACAGAAGAATCTTCCTGCCATTTTTGCCATCCCCCAACTCCCTCCCTCCCTCCCTCCCTCCCTCCCTCCCTCTCTCTCTCTCCCTCCCTCTCTGTCTCATGTTCTCATGTTTGTGGCTCTCAGCTCCCTCTCCAGCACCATGCCTGCCTGATTGCTGCCACAGTTCCCACCATGATAGTCTTGGACTCACCCTCTGAAACTGTAAGACCCTATTTAAATGTTTTCTTTTGCAAGTTAGAAAAGTAACTAAGATACATGTACCCTTACCACGCAGCTAAACTATTCTCACACGGAATGGGCCAACAGCTCAAAAATGTGAAAATCTAGTAAGATGGTGAAGTAGGAAATGGCTTCATAAACAAAATTTAGAGCAGAAACTGATCACTTCCACTACAGACCTGTCCTCAATTTCTCTTTTACAATAACAGAACTTGTGATGTTTGACGAGGCATGTAATTGCCTATGGTAATAATAAAGACGTTTTCCAGCCATGTTTAGGCAGAGATGGGACAGAGGCAAGCCTTCTTCGTGTCTTCAAAGGAAAGACATGTGCATGGATACTGGGCCCAGCAGCATAGAATATACGATATTGTAGTGACCTGAAGACGGAGCCACAGCATGAAGGCTGTCACTCTGTGGTGACAAGGAAACTGCAGCAGAGAACACTTGAGTGACGTGCCAAGGCTCCTGGGTTTTCTTCTTCTAAAGCTACAGAGGACATGTCAGTGAGCCAGGAGGCCTGAACTGCAGATGTGAAGCTGTAAGACACTGAAGGACTTACTGAAGAATGGAAAGATCTGGAAAAGTACGGAAAATGCCGGATTAAATGATCCCGTATTTCAACTGAGGTCTTGATGACTCAATGCTCAGCCATGGTTATTAGTGACTCAGGAGAAATATTTGACTGCTGAACTCAGTGGCACAGAGAAACACCTGAGAGCCTGCAAGATGGCTCAGAGAGTAAACGTGTTTGCCACCAAGCCTGAGTCCTGAGCTGATCCTTGGAACCCACACAGTAGGAAAAAAACCTACAATTCCTACTATGTGTTCCCTGACCTCCACACATACACCAACACATAAATACACCCAAATAAATATAAAGCTACAACAACAACAAAAAAAACTAAATAAGAACAAAAAAGCAAA